GGCGGCGGGGGGTGGCGCGGGGCCAGGCGCACTGCCGCCTCCCGGGCCTCGGGGAGTCAGCCCAGCCGCAGCCGCCGCCGCCGCCGCCGGGGCCGGGCCCCTCGCGCTGCCCGGGAAGGAGGTAGGAGCGCGCGCGGGCCCGGGCCTGGGGGCCGCGGCGGGGTGGAGGCCCTTCCAGCGCCTCGCCTGGTCCTCGCGCCGCGCGCCCCGGCCCGCGGAGGACAGCCCCGGCCCCCGGAGCGCGTGACCCCGTCTCCTCCGGCCGGACCCCCCCTCCCCTTGACGCCAGCACCACGTGCGAGCCCGGCGCCGGGGCAGGAGGGGCGAGCGAGTGCGATCGGCCCCCTCCCCCTCCCGGCCCCTTCGCGGCCCCTTCCCRGCCTGGGGTTGCGAGCCTGGCAGGGGGCTCAGCCGAGCTCCGCAGCCGGTGCGCTCCCCAGGGCCGGGCCTCTRCGGGGCCTGGGAGGCCCGGCCTGCCCGCGCCGGCCAACAGGCCCAGCAGCCCAGGGCCGCAGCAGGACGCTGCTATCCAAGCAGGCCCAGGCACCCAGTCGGCTCCTATTAATTGCTGGCGGAATGCAGCCACGAGTTGGCGGGGAGGCAAGCAGCTCCCCTCTCCCCCTCGCCAGTCGGCGGAAGTCAGAGGTGTGGATGCCCCTTCCCGCAGAGGGGCCCACCAGGGTCACCCATGGGTGGCGGGTGGCTTGCCCGCCACCCCCTCCTCCTCCCTGCCAGCTGCCTCCCGGAGCCGGCTGGAGAGGGCGTCCGGGATTCCATGTCAGCCCCCCCACCCCCGACAAGGCCAGGGCGTAACCCTGAGTGTGCCGCTCCCACACTGGGGGGGCCTCCCCGCCACCAGCCGGTCACTTCCTATTGGCAGGCCTGGCCTGGGAGAGGTCCCTGGAGCCCAGGCTGGGGCAGGGGCCCAGGTCCGGCCTCCGCCACTGCTGCCTGCCGGTGTAGGGCTCCAGGCAGAGACCATTTCCCCTGAGGGCCACCCCCGAGGGGCCCTGCAGCGCTGGGCCTGGCACCTAAGGCTGGGCTCGGGGCTCTGTTTACCGCCAGCCATCGCTGTGGAGACGAGCCTGGGGGAGGGGGTAGAGCTGCAGCCGGGAAAGCCAAGCCTCACCAAGGAAAGAGGAGCCAACGGGGACACTGAAATTTTAATTCGTGGGTCACTTGGGGGGTATTTATTATTCAGTTCTGATTGGCTGTGTGGTGGCCAGTCAGCACCCTGGCCGGGGCTGGGAGCCGYGCAACTCTTGGCAGAGGGAGGAAGAGCCGATGTTGGGGTGCTGTTGGCCCTGGCTCCTTGGGGAGACTTGAGGCTGGTGGAGGCAGGTGGCCCAGGCCCAGCAGGGAGGGGTCCTTAGGCTTTGGCCCATCCTGGTTGGTTTTGGTCTGTTCTGTTCTTTGAGGCCATCTGATGTGTAGCTGGATTGACCTGGTCGTCGTCCCTGCTGCTATAGGAGGAAACTGAGGTCCAGAGGGGAGGCAGCACCTGAACTGGGGCAGAGGATGTGGAGGCGCACGGAGACCGAGAGCAGCCCAAGGTCACCCAGCCTGTGCTGGGTCTGACCCTTTTGGTTCTGTTTCCCAGCATGGGGCCTTTCCCAAGTGTCTCTAGTCCCTGTGTCACAACCGGCACCTGCTCACCTGTGTCTCCCAGAGTGTGAGAGAGGTTGGAGGTAGAGCCCTCACTACTGTCACCACAGCTTCGCCCAAGGATGACATTGAGGCTCAGAGAGGGCCATTGAGATTCTTGAGGTCACACAGCACAGGCTCCAGTCCTCCTGCCTGCCAGTCTGCTATGGTAGACACTTTTAAGTGTGCCATGTGCACAGGGGACCCCTCCCTACCCCTGCTTATCTGTAGCACTCCAATCCCACACTTTGGCCTGTGAGGCGGACAGGGCTCTGGATTTTGAGGTTTGTACTAGAGGCAACCCAAGTCTCTGCTCTAGAGCCAGAACTCCTGGCCAGGCCTGTAAGGCAGACTGGCTGTGCAGGGGGTGGTCTGGGAATGGAATGCTGGCCCACTTGTTCTGTGACCTTGGACAGGCCCCCAGGCCCATGGTTGTCCTGTGACAGCAGCATTGTSTTAGGGTTCCAAGTGGCGTCTGCAGGTCCCTCTGACCTCCCCTTACCCCTTGTGGAGGAAGCAGCTRGGTCTGCTTAGGGCACTTAGGGATCTGCTGGGTATTGGGAGTGGGCTTTGGCCACCAGAGACGCCCTCAGTACCCCCTGACAGTTACCTTGGGCCACGCGCACCTGATAGACCAGAACTGCCTTCCGGTGGCCCTGGAGAGCAGGCTGTGCGGGATGGTCCTGACCCCACCCAGACTGGCCCCTTGCTCTGCGCCTGCCTTAGCGTCCCCATCAGTGGGACAGGGAGAGCATCTTCACCCCGGGTGTCGTTCTATGCAGGAGCAAGTGTTGAGCAACTGCTGCGCTGTGTCAGGGCCTTGGGGAGCCCCCCCCTCCGTGCTGGACTGGAGGGGTTAGACCTGGCACCCTGAGTTGGCGGGTGTCAGCTGTCCTCCAGCCCTGTCCCCAGGCCCCGGGTGACCTCTCCATTCTCTGTGCCATTGCAGGATCTCTGAGGGGCCYGAGAAGAGGCCAGCCTGAGTCTTTGGCCTCAGGGTGTGTGGGGGGTTCATGCCATGGTGGTACCTGGGGCTGTGTTGGAGGAAGGGGAATAAGGAGACCTGGGAGGACTAGTTAGGCAGGACTAGTCAGTTAGATGGCCTGTGTTCAAATTCCAGCTTTGCTGTGTGACCCTGGGCAAGTCCCTTTCCCTCTCTGTGCCTGTTTTCTACTTGTAAAATGGGGCAGTAACTGTGGACCCTCCCTCCTGGGGTGGTGAGGGTCGACCTGTACAGGACTCTGTGGAGAGGCCCACAAGACCCGAATTCAGAGCCCTGTGGCACAGGAGGCGCCCTGCAGAGAATCTGGCACTCATGAGGCCTGTGGACAAAGGCCCAGCCCTTCCATCTGTCCCCCCAGCGGGCTGTGGACAGCCATGGCCACTCGTTGGAAGCGTCCCACCCACGCCTTTCTGGTTTGACTGGAAAACAAGGTCCAGTACCACCTCCTATCAGGATGTCTGGCAGGAGGGCTCTGTCCGGATCCTGCAGGCAGGCCACTGGGCGCCAGGGTCCCTTCACCCTGGGCTTCCAGGCTGGGTGGGGTGCTGCAGCTGGCCCAGGTGTCGGGGGGTGTGCCTTCAGGAGAGGTGGATCGGTGGAGAAGAGCAGGTCCTTCCAGGTCACTCTGCCACTCTTGGGCATCTTGGGTAGCAGGTGCAGGCAGCCTCGGGCAGGACGAGGTGGACAGAGCTGGGATGCTAGGAGTCGGGTCCTGCTCGCCCCTGGCGACGGGAAGCTCATTCCCTCTCACCTCCATTGTGGACGGCCAGTTTCCTGACRCTGTCTCGGAACCAGACTCTGGACTCGGCTTCTGGCCTGTGACTCCACTGAGTGGAACAGGGTGGGCTGCAGCCCCACCCAGGACTGAGGGGTCACCTGGGGTCCCCAGGGCCTCCTTGTCTCCATCCCTACCCACACCCACACACTTCCCACCAGGCAGCTGCTTTCCTTCCTCTGGCCCTTTAAGGCCTGGGCAGGAAGCCCCTCCCCATTTAGGGCAATAAATGGACATGTAAAATGGCCGAGGGCCTGCCCCGGCCTGGCCTGGGGGAGGCCTGCCTGCCTGTGAGGGCAGGAGGACAGGTGGGCAGGGGGCCGGCTGGCGGCCGTCCGGCTGTTGGTGCCCCTTGATCAGGACCCTGCATTCCTGTCCCGTGAAGCCCGGGCCAGGCGGGAATTGGCACCAGGTCTGGGCGGGGTAACCCTCTGGACCAACCTTGCCACACAGGCTTCCTGACTGGGAGGGCAGGGGCTGCTGGGCGGGGCCTGGCAGCCACACCTGCCTGCCAACTTGCTGTGTGACCTTGGGCTGCTGCCCACCCTCTCTGGGTCTGGTTGTGCCCTCTGGTTTCCCAGCTAGGCTCTCCCACTCTCTTCCTCGGCCAGCAGCAGGGGGTTGTGGGGTCTGACGGCCTGGCTGGCCTGCCCTCTGGGCCCCGAGTGGTATGCACCGAGTCCTCAGGCAGACCTTGCCCATGGACGTGTATGTCCTCGCGCTCCCTGGCTGTAAAGGGGCCCTTGGTACTGCYGTCGCCCCCTCCCCAGGAGACTGAGGCTCTGAGAGAGCTGCCTCTGGTTCAAGGTCAAGTGGTTGCAGGGGGTCGACCTGAACCTGCTGGCCCTCCCCTGGACTGTCCTCTTCCCTCCCTGGGTGGGCAGGGGCCGCCCCCCCCCTGAGCTTCACTGCCCCGGAAGTGCCCTCCAGGAAGGCAGCTGATGGCAATCACCTGCTCAGCCCCTGCCGCCCCCTGGCCCCTTCCTGAGCAGCCTCCGGGGAGGGCGCCCCCACCCAGCCTGCCGCGTGACCTTGGGGGGGCCAGCCCCTTCCTGTTCCCTGGTGATCTGGGGTCCTTCCTAGGTGACCCCACTGCCCCTGTCCTCGGCAGGGCCCATCACCCCAGCTTCTCGGGGTTGGGGACGGAAGGAGGTGGAGGGTGCAGGGAGGGCTCCCYGGCAGCCTGGATCCCTGCCTCGGCGCCAGAAGCCAGGGCTGACCCAGGTTGGAGGGGTGGGCGGGGCCGGGTGCTGTGGCCCTACTGTGTGCCCCTGGAGGAGGCCAGGCTGGGGAGCCAGGTGGGGCTCCAGCCCTGGAGGGGCCTGCCGCCCGCCCGCCCGCCCAGTCAGCAGCCCCGGAAACCCCACAGGGACCTGGGGGAGGAGCTGCTGTGACTGGTGGCCCCGAGGGTGGGTCTGGGCCAGTGTGGGGTGGGCTTCCTGGGGAGAAGGCATGGCACCTGCTCTGTCGGGTGACAGCTGGGTCACCTACGTGGAGGGRAACCCTAGACCCCCAGGGAGGAGTGGCGGGTGCAGAGGGTGGGAGGCGCACAGGTGCTCCCTGTTCCTGGGACCCCAGGGGCTCGGGCCGGGCCCTCAGTTTCCTCCCGCTTCAAAGCAGGGTCTTGGGCCTTGTTCTCAGGGGGAGGCCCCCAGAGGCCCAGGTGGCAGCCGGGGTGTGGCGGCAGGTGGCTGGTGTTCCTGGAGTGGGCGTGGGTCGGGTGTCTGCTCAGCCGGTGTGGACTCCAGGCCGGGCGCCTGGGGCTCTGGGCTGGGGCCAGCCTTGCCGGGTGCCCTTGGCTAGGACTCTGGTCTTCTCTGGGTCTGGGTTTCCTCCTCTGTCAAGTGAGGGCCCGGGCACCCGGGGTGCTTTCCTGTGTGGTGTCTGCCCAGGCCTGGCCTGGGGTGAGATGGTCTCTGGTGACATCTGGGAGGGAGAGGGCAGAGGCACGGACCCTCTGGCCCAGCTAGGCCCCGTGGTGGCCTGGAGTCCGGGCATCTTAGCACTTAAAATAGGGCTGTGGCAGCCCCTGGCCCTCAGAGCCYGGCGCCTGGTGGGACGCCAAGGTGGTTTTGCCGGAGGGGGTGGGGCAGCCACCGYGAGGGCTGAGTCACTTGGACCATTTCAGGTCCCAGCCTCGAGGCCCCTGGAGACACCTCTAAGCCATTCCCGAGGGGACCCCAGGTCACCTGAGGGGACAGCGGACCAGGGTGGCCATCTTGGGGCGTTGGTAGCCTGGGTCAGAGGTCCCGTCCCTCCCGTGTCGGGCGGGGAGGGCTCGGACTGTCTGATCCAGAGCCCCATCTGCCCACACGCTGCCCGAGGCCCGGGCCAGACGGCAGATGGTGGCAGGGGGTGGAAGCCACCGGAGGGGGCTCCTGGGAGGCTTCCCGCCACGCCGCGGGTAGGGTCGCCCCAGCCCCCCCCCCCCCTCCCAGCAGCCATCGAGCCTCCCCCCAGGCCAGGGACGGGGAGTGAGCAGCTGGTGCCGTGGGAAAGGGTGGGCGGGCGGCCGAGGGGCAGCGAGTCCCAGGAAGCGAGCAGCCGCACAAAGGCCTCTTGTGGCCCCGGCTGGACCCTGCGCCAAGGGCCACCCTGGGGGGAGAGCGGCCGTGGCTTTGGGTTTTGCTGGGCCAGYTCTGGGCCTCGCTTGCTGGCCTCACCAGGCTCACAGGGGTCAGGGCTGGGCGGGCCACAGGGCTGGGAGGTAGGGTGGGGGTCTTGGCCCTGTCCTCGGGTGACATCCAGGGGTTCTGGCCTGGGAGCCGCTGGGCCCAGAGGACCTGGAGGAATGTGGGCTGTGCTGGGTGGCGTGGGGCAGCCGGGCTCCCTGGAGAGGGTGGAGGGTGGGGACAGGAGCCAGAGGGTTGCACAAGTGCCGGAGTGGGCGGGTGAGTCACGGCCCAGGGGAAGGCGGAAGGAGGAGGGGTGGGGAAGAGGGGGCGGGACGGACCGTCTCCCCAGGGCCAGCCCCTCCAGAGACCTCTGCCCATTTGACAGATGGGGACAGTGAGGCCCAGGGTATGCCAGAGTCCTCCGCTGGGCTGGACGGCACATCTGACAGAAGACCTGCCAGAGCCAGCTGTGGGACTGGAGGTGGACAGAGCCCCCGGCCCCCTGCCACTCCTTAGGGGATGGCCTGGGCGGTGCCTGGTTTTCCCTATTACTCACTGCCAGGGCTGAGCCCGTCCTGGGGGCTCACGAGGCAGGAAGACGTTCCAGCAGGCCCCGGCCCTGCTGCAACAGGGCCCGTCCATGGTGCCCTTGACCCTGTCCGGGGCACAGCCTGGGTGCCAAGTTTTGGCCTCACTCTTGCAGGTCTCGGGGCAGCAGAGAGGCCGTGTTCCTGGGTCTGAGTCCAGATGCGGCCTGCCCTCCCTGGGGTTCCCCAGCTGCCTTCTCACTCCCCCGGGGCAGGGGTGTGCAGTGGGTGGCTCCTGGGCTCCGACTCTTGGGAACCCAGCTCGTGCGTGTGTGCCGAGACCTCCGTGCCCCTCAGGCAGGCCTCCTGTCCTCCAGGCTGGGCACAGGTCTGGCCAGCACGGTGTCACGTCCTGAGACAGCTCAGGACCCCYGAGTGCCTTCACGTCTGGCCAGGGAGACCAGGTGGGGTGAGGCCAGGTGCTACCGCCGCGGTCCCAGGCCCCGCTCATGAGCCCCTCCTTCCCTCTGCAGGTCTCACGCGGAAGATGGCCGGCGGCGTGGACGGCCCCATCGGGATCCCGTTCCCCGACCATAGCAGTGACATCCTGAGCGGGCTGAATGAGCAGCGCACGCAGGGCCTGCTGTGCGACGTGGTCATCCTGGTGGAGGGCCGCGAGTTCCCCACGCACCGCTCCGTGCTGGCCGCCTGCAGCCAGTACTTCAAGAAGCTGTTCACGTCKGGCGCCGTGGTGGACCAGCAGAACGTGTACGAGATCGACTTCGTCAGCGCCGAGGCGCTCACGGCGCTCATGGACTTCGCCTACACGGCCACGCTCACGGTCAGCACGGCCAACGTGGGCGACATCCTCAGCGCCGCCCGCCTGCTGGAGATTCCGGCCGTGAGCCACGTGTGCGCCGACCTCCTGGACCGGCAGATCCTGGCGGCCGATGCGGGCGCCGACGCGGGGCAGCTGGAGCTGGTGGACCAGGTGGGCCAGCGCAACCTGCTGCGGGCCAAGGAGTACCTCGAGTTCTTCCAGAGCAACCCCATGAACAGCCTGCCCCCCGCCGCCGCCGCCGCCTTCCCCTGGCCGGCCTTCGGGGCCTCCGAGGATGACCTGGATGCCACCAAGGAGGCCGTGGCCGCCGCCGTGGCCGCCGTGGCCGCCGGCGACTGCAACGGCCTGGACTTCTACGGACCAGGTCCCCCGGCCGAGCGACCCCCRGCAGGAGACGGGGACGAGGGCGACAGCAACCCGGGCCTGTGGCCAGAGCGGGATGAGGACGCCCCCACCGGGGGTCTCTTTCCTCCACCAGCGGCGCCCCCGGCCACCACGCAGAACGGCCACTACAGCCGGGGTGGGGACGAGGAGGCGGCCTCGCTGTCGGAGGCCGCCCCTGAGCCGGGCGACTCTCCCGGCTTCCTGTCGGGCGCAGCCGAGGGCGAGGACGGGGACGCGCCTGACGTGGACGGGCTGGCGGCCAGCACTCTGCTGCAGCAGATGATGTCCTCGGTGGGCCGGACCGGGGACAGCGACGAGGAGTCGCGGGCGGACGACAAGGGCGTCATGGACTACTACCTGAAGTACTTCAGCAGCGCCCACGAGGGGGACGTCTACCCCGCCTGGTCACAGAAGGGGGAGAAGAAGATCCGTGCCAAGGCCTTCCAGAAGTGCCCCATCTGCGAGAAGGTCATCCAGGGCGCCGGCAAGCTGCCGCGGCACATCCGCACCCACACGGGCGAGAAGCCCTACGAGTGCAGCATCTGCAAGGTCCGCTTCACCAGGTGAGCCGCCCCGCCCCGCCCCGTCCCGTCCCGGCCCCCGGGAGGCGCAGCCTGCCCCCTCTTTGCACATCCCCCACCTCAGTTGTTCCMGCTTCATCTGGGGGCAGCCCAGGCACCAGACAGACGACCGGGTCAGATAGGCATGGTGGCTACTCCTGTCTGCCCAGCGGCCTAGGGAGGCTGAGGCAGGAGGATCCCCAGTCTGAGGCCGGTTTGAGCACTTAGCAAGGCTCTGCCTCAAAGCCAAGTGAAAGGGCCTGGGTGCGGCCCGCAGCAGCACAGCCCAGGCACGGACCTGRCCGGCTCTTCTGTTTGGGGTGGCCCTTCTCTGTGGAAGGAGGGCTCCCTGACTCTGCCTTGGGAGGATGGGATGCTCTTGGGGAATGAGCTGTCTGTCGAGCGGGTAACCATCTCATTTGGCCCACATTTGTCAGGCACTTTCTGTATGCAGCCCTGATCAGGCCCAAGGGCGCACAGCGTGGAGCAGGCACAGTCCCTGTGGGGCAGCCAGGGCAGCGGGCGGACTGAGACATGAGCACCGAGACTCACGGGGCACAGGGAGGAGCCCTGGAAATGGTGGTCAGGCAGAGACAGCCAGTGCAAAGGGCCTGCGGCTGACTTGACCTGGACAGAGCCAGGGACTCAGTCCCCGGGGTGCACTCAAGGCCAGGCTGGGGGCAGGTTGCTGGGGGCAGTCTTGGAGTTCAGAGGTGGCCGGCAGGGCTGTGTGGAACCAAGGCAGGCCAGACCAGTGGGGGCGGGTAGGGCTGGCAGGCAGGGGCCCGGCCAGGCAGGGTGACTCAGCGTCACCCCCTGCCCCCCACCCGCCATGGGGTTCCCCCTGCCACGCCTACCAAGGCAAAGAAAGAGGCCATTGTCCCAGCTTCCCAGCCCCACCCCACTGGGACAGGAACCCAGGCTGACCCCTCCCCAGCACCCTTGGCCCCCTCCCCAGCAGGCCAGGAGAGGCGGGTGGGGCCCAGGCTGCAGTGCCAGGTGGGGGCAAAGGGCACCGCCGAGGCAGCACAGCTCCCGTTCGGTGAGCCGTCCTCCGTCTGGGACCCTTCCTCCCCCAGGCAGGGGTCCTGAGGTGGCTGTGAGCTCTGTCCAGGGGTTTCTGAGCTCCACAGAGGCCAAGGGCCTGCCTCCCACTCAGGGTGGTCATCGCACCGGGCCCGGGGCTCTGGAGGCCAGGCTGTCTCAGTCTGTCCTGCCTCCCCTGGGGCCCATCCCAGCCGAGTGTGGGGAAACTGAGGCACCGCACGGTCCCCGTGAGGCCCCTTCCCCCACGCACAGCCGGCTTCCGCTTTGTCCCCCTCCCCAGGGCCCGGGTCCTCCCACCCAGGCCTGGGAGCCCAGGGGCCCCTCTGAGTCAGAGCAGAGTGTTGAGTAAGCAGGGCCTGTGGCAGCCGGGCTATAATTACCCAGGCCGGGGCTCGGGGTGATGAAACTGGGCTGCCTCCACCCCCACCCTGCCTCTGCTCGGCCCCTGGCCCGCTGTGCAACCCTGGGCACGTCACTTCCCCTCTCTGAGCCTCCCAGCCTAAGCTGGGCTCTGTGTAGTGCTGTGCCCCCCGGGCCTCAAGCCTGCGCCAGGGCTGGGCAGGGCACCTGAGAGACTGCAGCGGGGGGTTTGTGGACGGAGGGAGCGGCCTGATGCCTGAGGACTGGCAACACAGGTGGGCTGAGTCCTGCTGGCTCCAGGGGCTGCAGAAATGGCGAGGGACAGGAGTGTGGTGTAGGGAGTGGTCCTGACCCCTGGGGCAGCCGAGAGCCACAGGTGGTCGGAGCGAGCAGAGGCCCAGGTCTGCAGGCAGTGCCAGGGGAAGGTCTTGGACCTTGGGGGCTGGGAGAGGCAGAGGGGCAGGCAGGGGACATCCACAGGAGGCCTTGAGGGAGGAGTAGGAGTCCCGACTGCCCAGCCCCATGTGCTGGCCCTCTAGGGGGGAGCAGGGGGAGGTCTCTGGGCCATTGTCACCTCAGGTCTATGTGGGGACCAGCTTTGTGCTGAGATGGGTCCTCGTTGCTCACTGGGGCATGTGGCACAGGGAGAGGCCCTGGGGTCACACTTGGTCCCCACTGTCCCTGCTCACATCCCCATGTGGAGTGCGGGATGGTGATGGAGAGGGAGCCTGGCTGGCGAGGTGTCCCTGGCAGTGAGGACTGGGCATGCAGAGGCCCCGGCAGGGCTGTGGAGTGACAGCCAGGGTGCCCAGGTGCTGAGGGTTGGGTAGAGTCGGCAGGGCCTGGCTGTCTAGGTGGGCCTCAGTTATGCAGGGGGCCAGCCGCCCTGTGTGTCCAGGACTGAGGGATTTCTCGGGATGCAGGACTTTTGAGTATTTAGATCAGAACTTTGGGTCCCCTGTCTGTCACCAGTGCCCAGGGGTGGCAACGGGAGGGCAGGGCCACCCCGCTGCTCACTGTGCTGTTTTCGGCTCCTGTGGGGTGAATGCAGCCGCCAATTGCTGCCCCCCCCCACTAGGGCCTCCTTGCCCCCGCTGGCCTGGCGGGGGGCCTGTCCCCACTTGGGTGTGGGCATCTCAGGGAGCTGGTCATTCCGCGGGTGTGGCCCGGCCTTCCCAGCGGGGGGCCGTGGTGCGGGGCGCGCGGGTGGGTGGAGCGGCCGCTGACCTGCCTCCCGCGCCCGCCCGCCCGCCCGCCCGCAGGCAGGACAAGCTCAAGGTGCACATGCGGAAGCACACGGGGGAGAAGCCGTACCTGTGCCAGCAGTGCGGCGCCGCCTTCGCGCACAACTACGACCTCAAGAACCACATGCGCGTGCACACGGGGCTGCGGCCCTACCAGTGCGACAGCTGCTGCAAGACCTTCGTGCGCTCCGACCACCTGCACAGGCACCTCAAGAAGGACGGCTGCAACGGCGTCCCCTCGCGCCGAGGCCGCAAGCCCCGCGTGCGGGGCGGCCCCGAGCCCCCGGCCCCCGGGCCTGCCGCGCCCCCCGGCGCCCCCGCTGCGCCCGGCTCCCCCGACGCCCGGCGCAACGGCCAGGAGAAGCACTTTAAGGACCAGGACGAGGACGAGGACGAGGCCAGCCCCGACAGCTCGGGCCGGTTGAATGTAGCGGGCGCTGGCGGTGGAGACGACAGCGGAGGCGGCCCCGGGGCCACCGCCGACGGTAACTTCACAGCTGGACTCGCCTAAAACCAAAAAAGAGAACCAACCGCCGACCCCCACGCAGACCCCTCCCGACACGTGGGCCGCCCGCCGCCAGCTTCGCCTCCCTCCGCCCCCACCCGCGGCCGCGGGTCGCCCACCTGGCCCACGGCGGGGGCGGCCGGCTCTGGCCAGGCGGGCGGCGAGCGGGGCCGGGCCAGCTGTCCTCTGCCCCTGGGGTTCTAGCGTCTTTCAGACGAGACCTTAAATGATTTCTGTCTGCTCTGAGCGGACGTTAAATGGCCCGTCCCCTCCCCACCCTCCTTCCTCAGGGCACTTACCAAGGGGGGGTCTCCCCCTCGCTGTCCCCAGCGCCCCCGCCTCCCACCCGCCTGTGGCCTCGCAGCTGCGCACGTCCTGGCCTCGAGACTCGCATCTATTTATTTCCAGGCCTGGGGCGGGGGGCCTGGGGCTCCCGGCCTCTGCCACCTTCCTTTAGGCTCAGAGCCGGTGGCCCTGGGACCGCCCCTCGGACGCCCCAGGCCCCCAGAACCCCATGTTTGGAGATTCAAAACTTGTCTCGACCCTGCCCCCCCTCCCAAGTTTTTAAAGCACTTTTTAGATTTTTCTTTTCCTCCTTAAAAAACAAAATTTATATATAGATATATATAGACATATATATATATATAATAGACTTTCCACAGAGGAGCGGGCAGCGGCGGCGCTGAGAGCCGGCAGCCAGGGCCTCCTGAGGCGGGCACCGGGAGCAAGGGCAGGGCAGGGTTCCAGTGTCACAAAAGCAATAAAAACCCAAGATTTTACAAAATGGAGAGGAAGAAAGAAAGGAAAAGGCCACCAACCACATTTAGAAGTCTTGGCACTTTGTAACGGAACGGGTACTTTATCTTAACTCTTAATTTAAAAACATGTTTACAAGTTGCAACCAACTTCTATGAAAAGTTGAAAAGAAAAAAAGAGAGAGAGAGAGAGAGAGAGAGAGAGATTCCTAAAACTCAATTTATTTTTGTACAAAATAATAAAATAAAAAACCCACCGAAAACGTAGAATCCACGTCTGTTCCCCAAGGCTGAGGGGGTGGTCAGGAAGCCATCGGAAGGGACCAGAGACCCCCAGGTGTCTGCCCGCTACGGGGGTCCACGCTGAGGGCAGACCGAGGGCCTGGGTCCTGCGGCTCTGCCTGCCTMCTGCTCTGCCCACTTCCGGTCTTGGTTGGGAGATGTCTCTGCAGCCATATGGTGGCCATCTCTGTCCTGGGCACCCACCTCCCTTACTCCCTAGCTCAGGGACGGCCCGAGAGAGGGCTGGCCTTCCAACCAGCCAGACTAACCATCCCCCAGCCCCATGTCCCTCCCGCCCCCCAGGACCTGCCCTCCAACAGGGCTGCCCTGCTGTGGGGGTCCCTGCTCCGGGGCTTTAGCCTCCCCCCACACCCCCTTTTTACTCAAAGGCACTGACTGTAACGAGGGATAGCACTTGCCTCTCCCCAACCTTGGGCTCCCAAAGGCCCGGTGCAGACCGAGCCGCAGGCCACGGACAGGGCCGGGGCTGGGGAGGGGACGATGCCAGGTGCCCTCCGACTCCCTCCGGCCCACGCAGTCTAGCGGGGCCTGTACATAGACGCTCCGCAGACCCGAGGCTCCTCCTGTCGATGCCTGGTTGGGGCGGAGGGGCGTCCCTGCATCCCCACCCCTCTTGGTGGCCTGGCACCCTRTCTGTGACAACTGTCTCATCCTTTTGTCTTTAAAGGGAAGCTTGTAAGAAGGCGGAATGTTTCATATTGTCTCCACCAGATACTTTTTGTTCCCCCCCCACCCTCCAGCCCATCAGCCCCCCAAATGTCTCAGGATCCCCCCTCTGGGCCAGCAGAAGGGGCAGGCCCGGGGTGGGTGGTGCTGGCCTGTTTGCACCCTGATGTCACAGGGCGAGCTGCTCCAGAGAGGACTGTCAGGTCAGGCAGGGCACTCGCACCGGCCGTCGTCCCCAGAGAGGCCCCGGGGCGAGTGCCCTCCCACCCCCAGGCCCCTCGCAATAAGACCCACTCAAATCACTGATGTCATCCTGGCCAACAGAGGCCACCAGATTTGGGGGACAGAGCCCTCGGGACTCTGGCAGGACCAGGCTGCCCGCCAGCCACTCACCCGGAGCCCCTCGGGCATTGCACTGAGCCCCGCCCAGCTCCCCCGCTTCGCTGCCCCGCGCCCTCTGCCTTAACGCCACCCGGCCCGGCCGCGGCGTCTGCATGGGCCCAGAGCCGGACCCCCGCCCCCGACTGCGCAATCACATACTGTATATAGACGTGGATCGATTTTATTTTTATTCTTTAAATTAAGGTTGTGATAAAGTGTTGCCAAAGATACTGCTGAGTTTTCGAGTTTCAGGAAGCGGCGMGGCTGAGGAGGGCGCTGTCTGGGACTCCAGAGGCTCACCTTCGGTGGTTGGGGTTTGCTTTTTGTTTTCTTTTTTCTTTTTTTTTTTTT